TTTATAAGTTGGAACTGGCTGTGAGGAGGATATGACAGCTATAAACCCAAATAGGGTTAGAAATGAAGAGGAAACCATTTTTATCTTTAAAAAGGAAATGTGGTCAAACGGCTTCAGTGATAGCAGCAGTTTCTTCCAAGCTGTAGACCTATGCTTCTTTCTCTGACAGGGAGGAATATTCATTAACATAATTTTAAAAAATATGTCAGAACAAGGGGATATAGGGTTTGCCTGTACACTGGGAAACATTTCAGTTGAAAGGCAATTTTAAAAAGTCAGCAAGCTGCAAGATTTAGAGGCCTTCTCTAAAATACATTCAGGATTACAGCAGTGTTACCAGGATAACTCAAAATATTTATCTGTCAGCCATAAAAATGCAAAAAAAATGTTGATGTATTACATTCATTGATTGCTTTTTTATACTGTTGACTCCACATGGACTCCTGGTGGTTTATAACATATTCATAAAAACCAACAATTAACACCATAAAAAGACAATAATCAACCCTCCCTTGGCAACCAGATCCCAGCCATTATAGATTAAAAACTGTAGAATCTGTTTCCACCATTTTCCTGAACACAGTCAAGGAGAGCACCATCTAGTTGTTGGGGGCATGCTATTCCACAGGGATGGAGCACAGACTGAAAAATAGTGTCCCCCAGCCCTTTCCCCAGTTTGGGATGGGCATACTGGACAGAATGTTCTATATAAAATCAGATGAAACAACAGATGCACTTTTTAAAAACTTTGCAACATGATGGATTATTGGGGGCAGTGGTCTGTTGCAAACGTGTGTAAGATCAGAATATCAAGACTGCTGCTTCCAGCTGTAATCAGCCCATCTAATATATGTACTGTATATCATAGGAGATGCACCTGGTAATCCTGTATTTTCAGGGGAATGGGGCGGGGGGGATGCTGAAGCCGGGAGGCAGAATGTTTCTGCTGCAGCACCAGCATTATGGAACAGCCTCCATTTAACCTCACTGTGATGGCCTTCTGGAAAATACTAATAGCATAATTATTCTAGAGGCCTTTAGGAGTTGAATATTGTCTGTTGCTACCTTATAAACTGATCTGCAGGATGTAGTGTAACTGTTATCAGATTGAGCAGTAGGGATTATTAATGTTTTATGATAGTAAGGTGTTACTCTGCTTGTTACACTATTCTGTAGGTGTTTCATTGTTTACTGTGGATTCTTTAATGTTTTATATTTGTTTTTGATGTTTTATTGTTTGCAGTGCTGTATGTGCTAAGGATATTTTCATTGCTGTAATTCTTCATGAGCCAAATGAAATTGGCAACATACAAATTTGGTAAATAAATAATGTATAATGCCCAACTGCTGGGCCACTGAGCATATTTGTGGGCTGTTCTACCATTGTAAATTGGAATCTGTTGAAGAATGGGATAAACCCTTATTCAGCAGTTTAAATAATTCCCACAAAGATATGTAAAAAGAACTATAGGTAATTATTATTTGTACTGAGTGCCTTGGCTCATAGACATGAGTGGAGTATGTATGAAATGGGGGGAAAGTAATTTGTTTTGAACTCAGAGCAAAGCAATCCCACTTGAAAGGTTCTGAGTATTCTACCATAGCAAACAATGGGGACTTGAAACAAGTCTCTTGCTGCATTGTTTTTCATCATATAGAGACAAAAGAAGTGTGAAAGTCCACACTAAATGCTACATATCCAAAATTAAGAAAAATTAGCAAGAGAAGTGCTTTTAAGAGTCCTATAGCAGAAGATTCAACCAATAATAAAGCATGATTTTTGCAGCCTAACTGTACAAATATCCATAGAACTGAGTACAGGAAATATGCAACAGTTTCACTTTAAGACAGCCTATGAACAATATAATAGCAAAAATACACTTCCCTAGTAGTGTGTGTGTGAAGTAGGAAATAAATGTTTGAGCTTGGAACCAAACTTCAACAGATTCAGTGTTTTGCTATAGTGTCAAAACAAAACTCTCAGAATATATGTGGGTTGGGTGGGGGGGGTGTATTTGTTTGGAATTTTAAACAATCAGAATTGCTTGCTGGGGGCTAATTTTCTGTGGCTGTGACTCTGAACAAAACTACTTGAATCAGCCAAGTTTAGTTCTGAGATTGGAACAAAATTATCGGCACACATGTTCTCACGCATTTTTGCATACTCCTGTTCTTCCCATATTCTTAAGGCTTCTTCCTAATAGACATGCTCATTGCGCAGTTTACATTTGGCAGTCTCCCTAAACAAGAAAGCCTAACACATGAGACAGTATTGCACTGCTACTCATGAATAACTTTCCTATTGTAAACAATTTAAAACAGCAGTAAACTTACCTGCCAGGCTAGCGGTGGTCTTTTAACTTTTAACTGATCCTCTTTCACCTCCGTTTCCCTGTAAATAGTTTCTGACAATAACAGTGGGGATGAAACCTGTGGCTGCTGCTTTATTGGCTAAAGCACTCTCCAAGATTTCTCAGCTTGAAAGTTGTTGTTTTTTTAAAAGAAAAAGTTTAGTACCCTATTTTATTCCATATTGGGGACAAAACTCCAGAACACTGAGTGTTTTGTTCTAAGCTCTGAACCCTCAAAACAGTCATTTCAGAGTCAAAACATTGTGCGCTTGGGATGATTTTGACACTCCTGCTTAAAAAGGACACTGTTGTCCTAGAAGCATTATTGCTTCACTGTGCTTTTTTTCCTTCCTCCCCTCTATCCCATTCCCTTAAAAAGTCTTGTTGATATTGAGTGTAAACGTTCTTTAGTCATAGCATCATGTTCAACTTTCTTTAATAACCTCCCTCTGCACAGGCATTTTTAAAACAGAAAATTGTACTGAAATCTCATTATTGAAGACAGAAGCTCCTACTGGTAGGTTCAGCTTCAAAAAGCAAGCACAGTTCATTCTGCAAACTCTTTCACAACTGTTGGGAAACAGTTTAATAGGAAACAGGGATTTTATTTCCACCCACAATAAGTAAGTTGTAATCAGTGCAATACCATACCAATCTTATTTCAAGCCTCTTGTGCAGTTATGCTGTTTCAGAGGCATTAATGGGTTAAAGGAGGACTTCAGAAACAACCTATACTTTCACTTGTTGGATTTGTTGGTGTCACTTCATAACCTGATATTGATGTGTGTTTGATAGAGCATCAGATTTTTGATCCCTGCGTCTGGATGTCTAGGATAACCTGCTTGTGGCCTCCAGATTTTCAAACATGTTTCTCTGTGATAAAATCCTATTTATTGGCAATACAATCACCATCATCATTCTGGGGGGAAGATAACAGTTGTTGTTTTCCCTCTCAATCAACCAGATGAAATACAACTTGTAAAAAGGAATCTTCCTGCATCTCCAAGTCCTAGAGAAGTGTTTCTATGTCCAATGAATTATAAAAAGAAATCTATTTTAAAATTCCCTAAACTGGAGATCAGAAAATCTTTCATGATTCTGATGGATTTTATGGGTGGTCCTTGCTTAACAACAGTAATTGGGACCAGAATTTCTGTCACTAAGAGATGCAGTCGTAAAGCACGACATCACATGACTACACTGCTTAACTTATGGCAGTTCTGGCAGTCCCCAGTCATTGTCATTAAGCAAGGACCTCATATGATTGTGACTTCTGCCTAACCCCATTGACTTTGCCTTCCCCATTGACTTTGCTTGTGGGAAGCTGTCAGGGAACATCACAAATTGCAATCACCTGACTGCGCAACACAGCAATGGCCAGAACTTTGAGGACAAGTCATAACTACCTTTTGTTCAGCACCATCATAAGTTCAAATGGTCGCTGAACAAGTGGTCATTAAATGAGGACCACCTGTATTCATTGACTCAATTTTCTTCTCAAGTGAAGCCTGGAGTAATTTAACCCAGTTCCTGAATGGTCTCTCCCCTGCATGGTCAAGAACTCTAACAACTTTTTTAAAAAGCTGTTTCCAGGAACAGTATTTATTGTGACAGCCCTTGTTACAAGGATACATTTTTTCAACACAATTGTTATGACCTAAACACTTAGTATCGACTTAAAGTAAAAACAGTGTTATAAATCCTAACAAGCATGTGCTTGTTTCATGATTTTTTATTCTTAGTAAGTTTCCTTTTATTAAATGTGCTAGGCAATATTATATGGATTCTTGTATTTACATAGGGTTAGGGTTAGATCTGGGAAAAACACACATCACAAAATGAAATTATCTTTGTATTTGAATATCTGTTTCGCTGTTACCATATTGTACATATTTGAAAGTAAACTTGTAGCTTGGATCTTTATTTTAAAGTATGAATATCATAGCTGAGTTTACATATAATTCTAAACTAGGATTTGTTTCACCCGTGGTTTGTTTGGTGTGTGTGTGCATGCACACGCACATGCCTCTGTCTTGCTATTATCCTGATAGAATCCTAATTGTTATAGTAGCTGTAAAGGATAGTTTTGTTTGTGTTATCAGTCTGATTGCTATAGTGGTATGCACAAAATGAGAGAGAGCTCAAAACAGTTCAAAAACACCTTGTTCCAACTTTAAAACAAAACTCAGAACACCAGTGATTTGTTTCATGCTGTCTTGAGGTAATTTCCTGCAATCCAAGAACTTGGAACAATGCTGCTTGAAGCCTTCAAGTCTGGACTGTGCTTTGTTTTAAAGATCATATTGCTTTGCACATCCTTAATTTCTTACATGGTGGGTGACGTTAGTCTCATGTATGCAGATTTTGTGGAGGAAGATTCTGTGTGTCTTTGGGTTTATATTATATTTGGGTGTTATATTTTGCCCATTTTTATAGGATTTACCATTTATGTGTGCTAATGACGTTTTTATATAAAAGGTTGGGATTTTACCTTTTATTTTAAAAAAATCATGTTGTATGTCCAGTGTAGCTGACATTAAAATTAAAGATACAGAAAGAGATAATAGCATAACATGTTTAAAATCTCTGCCTAGATTCATGGGCTTGGACATTATCCCCATTATCAGCATTTGTTTTCTCATTTTTCAGGTCTACTTAAAAGCACCCATGATCCTTAATGGGGTTTGTGTTATTTGGAAAGGCTGGATAGATCTCCAAAGGCTGGATGGCATGGGCTGCCTAGAATTTGATGAGGAGCGGGCACAGGTAAAGAAGATAGCAACAGACTTCTCAAGTACTATTTTGTGATTTTAAGACAATGTATTTTTGTAAAACTGTATATTTATAATTTGAGGTTGAAGGAATCATATAATGCATTGAAAACATAAGCAGAGTCGGTTCAGCATCTTTGGGCCTGTCTGCTTCTTTTGATTTTAGATTGGGGTTTTTTTCCCTTCTCCCTTTAGCATTCATTGTCCATAATTTAAATGTCCACAAATCTAGTTTCCTGACTCGTGTGTTATTCATATGCTTACTTTGTAGCTGTAATGGTATGTGGGAAAGACCTTGGGAGACTGGGCCAAGGGACGCTGCCAAGGGAACGGTCAGATAAGAGACGGCATAGCCTGCAGCTGGATAGTGGGCAGGGCAAGAGGCTCAAAAGAGACCCTCCCTAGTTTCCAGGACAATAAAGGAGATGGTTCGGCGGGGGCAGGGGGAGAATTGTACTTTCGGACTTGCAAGATTCTTTTAATATAGCTTTACCATACAGTAGAATCAGCTCATCTGGTTGTGTTTCCTGTCTGGTCTCCCTGGTAGGGCTGACAGTAGCTCAAGAGATGGCTTCTGGAAGCTTGCTCATATCTCTTTGGATAACACTAAGTTTATTTGGGCTTGGGCTGGAGAATATTGCTAGATTATTGCACTGTGTGCTTTACTGGATGTTAAGTATTTTTCTCGAGGTAGGTGATACTTTGTAAAAGGACTAAAAAGTCTTATTTGTAAAACTGTATATTGGGACCTGCATGGCTGCTTTGTGGGCTTCTGATCTGACATTTGTCTTCCCTCCATCCCTTTTTACATCATGAAGTGGCAGCTACTTAGACAGTGGCCAGGAACAAGATTCACAGATGGCAGTTGATTTTATGTTCCACACTGGCACATTGGAAAGGGATTGCATTATTTTGTATCCAGATAAAAATTGACCAAAAGGGCCTGATCTGCTATATGAAAGCAGAATCTAGTATCCAATGTGTATGTTGCCCTTCAGTGCAGATTGCTGAGGGCTTCACTTCCATTTATTGATTAATAGACGTTGGTATTAAATTAGGCAAGGCTACACGGATGCTCTTTTACATCATTTCCCAAAATAGCTTAAGGGTTCAGGAAATGCCTTAGGCATAAAAGGCAATTTAATGTTTTCTTGGTGCAGTCATTTGATTTTAGATTTAAATTTTAATGTGCTGAGTTTCAGAGTATATTAAAATATAGTTGGATTCTCTGGAGCAAAGCAATTATCAACTGTAAATCTTTGGAAAACCTGACTGCTAATGGAATATGTCAAATTAAATGTAATATGTGTATATTAACAGTTATCAGCTTTTGATTATTACCAGTGTAAAACATGCTAAAAAAGAAAAGATCTATTTATTTATTTATTTAGAAATAGTGTGACAGAATTACACGTTGCCATATATGGTTGGGTATGTAGTTCCTCAGCACAAAATAGTTAATTGAGAAATTTTAGGAGGCACCCCATTATAATTTTTTTTAAATGAATATACTAGGCTTACGCAATAAAAAGCTTTCCAAATTATAAAACATATGGTGGAAGATTCTCATGTTTTGTTTGAAAATGTCAGACTGAAATTATAGACACTGATATTCAATAAAGCCTCTGGCATTTGAATGATATAAGGAATTTTACCCAGTTGTGCTACATTTTTCTTCTGATAACGACCAGTACTTTATTATTGTAAACCTAGTGCAATGCAGGAGGGTTAGCATTATAAAGAGATGATGCCAAGATAATGCCTTTTTAAAGTGTCATACTGACAGTTAGAGCAGGCGTATTTCTTAATTTTGCTAAGATATAAATCAGGGCTTTTTTCACACACCGGTTGTAAATTATTTCCTATTCTTCATTGCCCGCATAACAGGGATAGGCAGCCTGTGAGAATTTGCGTGTGGTTGCTGCAGCCATAGAGGAATTGAATTGTGCCCATATTACATAGCCAATTTTACAAACTCCATTTTGAACTTGGGAAGAAATAGAATGAATAAGGATGGGCTGATGGGGACCCTTATTTGCTTATTGAGACTACAAAGTGGCAACCCTAAATCTGAAAGATGATATATAGCCATCGGTCTGCATTAACAGTATCTGGCTTTCAACAATATGCTCTGTTTCACTGCGTGTCATACAATCCCCCCCCCCCCCCCCG